TTGCTGAGATGAAAGCGGATGCCAAAGTTCACTCCCGACAATATGCGTTTTTGCTCGCTGTAGCAGCGCTATAGCGCTGCACAGAAAAAAAAAGCATAAAATTGAAATGTAAAAAACTCACTCCAGCACTGCCCGTTGAACTGTCTCCTCCATGCTGTTCACTAGCTTGGCCGATGGCATCCTAAATTTTTAAATTCAATAGAGAAATTATCCGGAAAAAAAGGAAATAAATAGAGGGGTGCACCATGGTAACTGGTGCGATCATGTCTTTTGTGCAATTCCGTCCAGCGAATGCTTATGCACTACTGTTCTCCAGATGCTTGTGCAATCCTGCCCTGCTGGCAGTTGTGCAACTCCGTCCAGGGGAACCTTGCTATCAAAATTGTCTACTGCAATACTGTTTGATACGTGCAGAGGTTTCTGTGGTTCTAAAATTATTAGTTTTGGCGTTAAAACTTTGACGTTTCTGTACGTAAACCTAGGCAAGCGTAGGGACTAATTTATATGCGGGCATGGGGTGTCACTCTGAAATTTTAATCTCCCTTACCCAAGCTTTTCTAATTCCCGAGTTAATAATTTTCGCGAAAAAATTGTCACCCACACATCAGACCAGAGCTTCCATGAGAGCCGATTATAAAGTTATGGGTCATACACGAGCAAGGGGCATTCTCTCAAAATTTCTAGCTTTGGTGGTTCTCAAGCCGTTAATTTTGGAACTAGAATTTTCACTTAGCCGCAAATAATAATTAGGTACGCGGGGGATGAATTTATACACGAGCTCGGAGAATTATCCTAAAGTTTCAGCTTCCTAGCTTTTCTGGTTCCCGAGGTAATAATTTTCGCACCAAAACTCTTGCGTGCCAGCAAGTGGGACAGAGGCACACGCGGAGATTGATTTAAATTTACGGGTTCTTATGAAGGCAGAAAGCATTCTCTTAAAATTTAAGACTTTTCAATTTTGGCGCCAATTCGCGTTTTTATACCTGATACTTAGGTGTATGCAGAGACTGAATTTATACGCGGACTACAGTATTATTCTAAAATTTCAACTTCCTGGCTTTCGCGATTCCTGGATTGTTAATTTCCGCGCCAAAAATTTTCACGTATTTCTAAGTGAAATCTAGGCATGCGGCGGGGGACGGGAAGAGGGAAGGGGGGAGGGGGGAGGGAGGTGAGGAATTTGAAACTGTAGGATCATACACGTACAGGAGATATTCTTCTAAAATTTCAGATTCCTAGCTTTACGGGTTCCTGAGTTAATAATTTTTGAGTTAAGACTTTCACCTATCCGTATGCAAGGCCTAGGCGCACGCGAACGCTGAATTTAATTTACGGGGTCACACGCAGGAAAGAAACATTCGCTTCGTATTTTCAGTTTCTCGTCTTGTGTTTCCTGAATTATTATAGGTGCCAAAACATTCGCGTGGCTGTATATGAAACCTAGGTACACGTGGACGTTGAGTTTCAGTTTGCGATGCTAAACACGGGCAGAGAGTCTCCCTCTCCCCCTCCCCTTCCCGCTTAAAGTTTTAGCCCCATAGCTTTTCTGGATCCCAAGTTTAAACCCCGGAAAAATGCGCTAGGAACCGGGTTATGACTTCGCAAAAAAAAGACTGGATAAAATATACAAATCCAATGTTGGTGCAAAATAGGGGGAAAAGTACTGTCGAAACCAATACATGTAAAAAATCCAACAGCCCTGCAATATCAATCGTGTACGTGTCCATGTGAATTTCTGAAGACTGCAGAAGCTAATACATACGAAAAGCTGACAATAACTGTGTGTGTGTGTATGTGCTTGAAGATATGAATGCTTGAAGATATGAATGTATAAAGACTACCGAAATGTATAAAGACTACACATGCTTGAAGATATGAATGTATAAAGACTACCGAAACTGACAAGTATGAAGAGAATAGCACAATTAATA